ACTTCCCTTTCCTCTCCTCTTTTTTCCATCTGCTGCATGCCATAAATTTTTTTTCCTTCAACGTGGTTGACAATTTCCGTTCCTTTTCTGTTCTTTTTTATTTGTTTCTTGTTCGTCCTTGCTTGGCCTGTCACACGCACGCACACACGACCGGGGCAACTGTGCAGTAGTAAGCGAGGAAGGAAGTAACCGTCAGGCAAGATGCACCGCAAGCAGGTGTGGGCGAAGCGTGTGAGGAAGGAGCGCCTAAAGAAGAAGTTCCTCACGCGTATGCAAGCAACTCGTCTGCTGCAGGTCGACTCTATCCAGTTTCGTCGCCTCTGCATTCTCAAGGGGATCTATCCTCGTGCCCTCGCCCGCAGCAAGCAAAAGCAGAGCGGCAACGACAAGCAGTACTACCTCGCGCGGGAGATCAAGTGGCTTGTGCGGGATCACGTTGCCGAGCGCATGATGGCACACCGTGCATGGGAGAAGAAAGTCCGCCGGGCGGAGGCGATGGGTCTCACCGAGGAACTTGAGGTTCTAAGGAGCAACAAGGTGAAGCCGCAGTACAGCCTTGTGGCCACAATCAAGGAGCGGTACCCCTTTTTCATTGACGCCGTACGAGATATTGATGACGCCATGTCCATGATCGCCCTCTACGCCTTCCTAGGCCCGGAGGTGATGAGCGAGACGACTATCGAGACGCACCATGCGTTAACGTCGGGTCTACATGGGCGGGCGCGGGAAATCAGTGAGCGTTGGAACCGCTATGTGGCACGGGCCCACGCGCTGTCAAAGGGGTTCATTTCAATTAAGGGGTACTACTTTGAGGCCATTGTGCGCGGAGAGCGGGTGCGCTGGTTGTGCCCCCACGAGTATGCGCACAAGTTTCCAGCAGGAATTCAACAGTACATTACCCTCAGTTTCCTTGAATTCTACATTGAACTGATGCGCTTCGTCCTGTTTAAGCTGGAGCACGACCTTGAGCGCGACATCGCGGAACAGCAGAGGGTCGAGGACGATGGGCTTGACACACATGCCGAGGACTTCCACATCGCTGGCAAGGAGACAACGCAGGCACTTAGTGGCGTAAAGAAGGATGCCCTCGGCAGGGCGGAACTTATGCAGGAGGAGCTGCGGAAGGTACGACGCGTGTTTGAGGGGTTGACGTTTTACCTCTCACGTGAAGTACCTCAGAAGCATGCGACTCTTATAATTGAGGCGTGCGGTGGCCGTGTCGCGACGTCCTACGCGTCAGACAACATCACACACTTTGTAGTTGATCGTCCCGCGCTGCCGCCCGGGTTTGAGCGGGTGGAGCGCATCGAGTATGTGCAGCCGCAGTACCTCTTTGATTGCCTCAACGCGCGTATGCTGCTTCCACCCAACGGCTATCGCCTTGGTGAGGAGCTGCCGCCCCATGTTTCCCCGTTTACTGTGGCCATCACTAACAGCGCCGAGGACGTCGCCGCCGTGGAGGAGGCAAAGAAGAACCATCCAAAGATAGTCTCCTATGTGCCGAAGCGGGTGCACGAGATACGTACTCTCGTCGACCCTCAGTACACGCCGATAGACCCGGAAGGAAAGGCCTCCGAATTGTTGCTGCGCGATGAAAGCGATGAGGAGCACGCGGCGGTGCCAGAGTTGGGTGCCGACGACGATGTTTCGCTCTCTGGCGACGAGCTCGTGGAGGCCAGCCGCCGCCCGAAGTGGGAGGAGGAGGAGGTCACGGAGAATGTGCAGCGCAGCAAGCTTTCCGCACTCAAGGTGGCGAAGCAGCGCAGTATGAATCTCATGAATGCACCCACAGACGAAGTGGTGGCGCGGCGGCGTCTGGCTCAGTTGAAGCTGCGGGAGTCGCGGCAGCAGCAGGAGTCGTCGGAGACGCGGCTGAAGCGCAAGCTGGCTGAGGTGAAGCGCCAAGAGGCAGCCACGCGCAAGATGCAGCTGCAGGTGGCTCGAAAGAAGGCAGCACGCTATTACAAGATGGTCAATGGCGTCGTGCAAGGCAGCCAGCGGCGGGAGAAGATGCTTGAAGCGAAGGCAAAGCAACTCGCGGAGGGTCGCGTAGCGAAGAAGGAGGATGGCCGCGAACTCGTCAACGCCCGAGTGGAGGCGAAACGCGCCAAGGCGGCGGCGGCGGGAAGGCCGCTGCGGGAGCGGAAGGCCGCGAACCCGTACAAGAAGCTGCCAAAGTGGGTTCGCTGACCACCGCGGCGACGCCTCTGTCGCCCCTCCGGCTGGGGGGGGGGGGGAGATGTGCGGGCCGAACTGACCGCCCAGAAACGCGACGGAAGTGGGAGGAAACAGGCGGAGAGAGCGAGAGAAGGGGAAATCGATTGGCGAGGCGTGTGCTCCTTGTCGTGGCTGCGTGTCCTTCCCACTCGCCCTTTTCTTGGGGCGCTGCTCCACAGCGCGAGGTGCCCCGCCCTGCCACTCCCACAGTTTCGCCCGCGTGCGCACGGCGCTTACCGGCAAGTTGACCGCACATGAAAATGAGGGATGACAAAGCAAACCAAGAGAAACAAAAGAAAAAAGGGGGAGAGGCGTATAAAATCGCACGGGAAGAAAAAGAAAAAGAAAAAAACTCTGTGCGGAGCTGGAGGGACGCCAACTGCCTCCTCCCAGGCGTAAATTCAGCGAAGGAAGAAATAATAAAGTTAAGACAAAAAGTAAAAAAAAAAGGCACTACGTATGTGTGTGAGAGGTGGAGAAGTTGGGCAGTAAAGGAAAGATAAAAGGAAAAAAAAAACTACCGACCTCATCGGGTCCTTGAAACGTTTAAAAAGGAGGGGAATGAGGAAAGTGAGTCTGGGGGACGAACGCACACGAGGGAGCGAAGGAGAGAGGGTGTGCATGTTCCTGCATATTATTTTTATCATTCATTTGGTTCTTGGAGGAGGGAGGCGTTAGAGGGATTCAGTGCTATTCTGCTGCGCGTGAGTCTGTTACGACGCTTTATTTTTCCTTTCCTATTGTATTTTTCTTGCGTCACCGCGTATGCGGCCGCAGTTGCAGGAGGCGAAGTGGTGGGAAAGGGGCAAACGAGACGGGTGCGCCCACCCGCGCATCAACAACTTGGAAGAGGAAAAGGCGAGAATGGAATTGAGCGTCGACAGGCGGAGGCCGTACGTGCCCATCGACACCTGCAGCCCGGGTGGGACCTGGATTGAGGAGAAGCGGTACAATAAGGTGCGGCACGAGAATGGGGCGCAACAGGCCTCTAAAGTTCTCTGCGGCAATTGGCAGGAGGAGAAGGCGCTCGAAGACGATCTCCTCGCTCAGCCACCGTTGCCGCCCGGGACAGTGGCACCCGAAGAGTTCGCACAAACGGCGGTGCTGCAGGCAAGCCTGGACCCCATACGCGAGGGTCCTCATGGGCGCTACACCGGTGGCTACCAGTCAACCCCCTACGTGACGACCGACGCGCGAAATCCGCATCTGCGCTTTTTACAGACGACGCAGCGCCTTGACTACTGCGAAGCAAACGGTGACGTAAAACGCCTGCGTCGCCCTGATATGGGCGTACGCAGTCGGGTACTGCTGGAAGTTGCGCTCAAGGCGGCGCAGGCAGAGAAGGAGGCATGCGACACCGAGAAGCAGACACGCCTCTCACACATTGCAGAGGATGGCGGTGGCATTTACCTCTCAACGTACCACAAATCGCACTGTCGCGAAGAGGAGCTACCAGTCATCAATGAGTTGCGTAACGACTACCTCTCCGATGAGCCTATCACGCTTTATACGGGTAATCCCGTCACAGGGTGCACCATGACAGTGCACGGCAAGACACCTGTGGAGCCCGTGAAGGAGCGCTCGCGCTTTGGACGTCACACATATTTCACCGAGCGGAAATATGCGCTGTAGTGTTCTTCAGCCGACAAGGACGAAGCAGTAGGAGAACGGGGAATGTACAGAGTTGACGTCAAGAATTGGACGGATTCTATCTAGATCAGCATTTCTTTTCCAGTTCTCTCTCTCTCTCCCCGCACACACACAACTTTTCCCTTTTTCGTCGGGGACTCCCTACGAAGAAGAGAAAAGAAAAAATGGTGCCATCTTTCTACAATGCGTAGCTCACGAAATGCACTATCAGATTATTATTTTCTTCTTGTTTTTTGTTTTTGTTTTTTTTTGTTTTTTGCTTTATGTATATATATATAAAGCAGCTTAGAAGTCTGAGGCGGTATATACGTATATACATATACCAATTCACGCACACGTATACCCGCGCATACGGTGCGGCAGAGGACAGAAAGAAGGGCGGAGTGCAGGTCGGTTGTGGGAACGGCCGTGGGTTTTTTTTAGTAGCAATAGGGCCAAAATGGGTAGCGACCTTTCAGTTGTAATGCGAACCTGTGCTCCGGTGCCTAAAGTCGTTCGTGAGGCACTGGAGCAGAGGCGGAGTTCCTCTCGTGGTGGCGAGGAGAGCGGTGCGTTGCCAATGTCGTACACAGAGTTTCGCCTCGTGTGTGGAGAGATCTTCAACCCGGAGATGCTGACGGAGGTTTCAAAAGGGACAGCAACACCGCCTTCCATACGGCTCCTCGTAGCAGACACCACGCCTCAAAACCTCAGTTTGCTCGAGCTCGAGGACGCGGCGCAGTTTCCCCAGTTGCATGATGCACTGCGCTGCAAAGAGTGTCTAGGACGGGTGGGCCTCGTTGTAGACCCCTCCGTTCGCATTGGGCAGCGTTTGTATGCTGCGGAGCAGCGTCACATATTTACACAAGGCTTCTCCATGTTTCTCTCCAAACTTGTCCTTGCAATGAAGCACGTTGCCCCCAGTTCTCCGGAGGATTGGTTTCTGGGCGTGGAAGATGAGTCGCCGCCAGCTGGGAATCTTGTCAGTACTCGACAAAACTCACCCTCTAAGTCCAACTCATGTGTGCCGCACGAACTTTTCCTCCTGGACCTTGAGCAGGGTTTACTGGATGACGTGAGTGGGCCTTGGCTTGTGCGTGACATTGTCGACCACATGGGTCGTGTGCTGCACTATCATTCGGCTGTCTCGCTTTTGTGTGGCCCGAGCACCCCGTCTCCCAGTATGTCCAGGAATATACTGGAGACGCCCATGTCGGCGGACACGTCGAGCTCCAGTCGCGTACTGGCTCGTGTTTTTGCTTCCTGTGAAAGCACCGAAACCCCGCTGCCGGCTGCTGACGCGGCGCAACTTGGCTTTTGCAGGTCACTTCGGCACGTGCTTCTCGCCCAGAACAATATGTCCCGGACGGGACTGCGCAAGTGCCTCCTGGAGCTTCTCAACAATAATGAGCAAGAGCATGGAACGCCTGTCCGATTTCTTCAGATGATAGATGTGAGAGAAAATGAGGAGTCTGAGGCGACACAACGATTTGTTTCTGAATTGTCATCCTACACTGGTGTACAGATTATCATAGGAACAAGTGGTAAACGGTGGCGCCACCGAGCACCTTATTGGGCCAATAAGGGTCTCCCGCATGACGGCGTTGGAGTTGCGGGTATGATGCTGTCCCTCGCACAAGGCATGCCGTGCTTCAAAGCTAATGCTTCTGACCGCCCCGAACTCAATCCAAGTGAAAAAGTGGAGTTGACACCTGTCTCTTTTGTGCAGCAGGATCAGTCACGCTCGCTGGAGAAGGTAAACCCGCATTCGGTGGGGAACAGGAGTGACGTTGCCACCATGAGGCCGCATTCGGAGAGTGGGCAGAAGGGGGCATTTGTGCCTCACACTGTGGAACAACATAATGAAGAATCGACAAAGATAAATGCGGCTTCTGATGGCACGGCTGCCGCGTTGGAGACAAAAGGCAGATGTATGGGAGTGAATGCGCCGAAGAACATGTCTTTGGACTCATTTTCGTTGAATGAAGAGGAAATCAACGAGGGGGACATGGACGAGGAACGAATGCGATCACTCCGTTTGGACGCGGCGGGTGAGGCGGAAGCTGAGGCCGCGGATGATAAGGAGCTGCTGGATATTCATGCAAGTTTGCTGGCGGACTCTCCTACCACCTCTCAGGGCGGAAAATTGGGCCCGGGCGTTGCCTCACTGGATGCACTAGCTGCCACGCATGAGATGAAGGGCCCCTCGGCCGAGGGCATGGGTGCCGTGCTGCCGCTGGAGACGCCTGTAAAGCTGGGGTCCTCTACCTCTTCGTCTTATATTGTGGAAAAGGAGGAAGCCCCTGGGACGGCAAAGGCTGTGCCGGCCCCGCCGCAGCTGAAGAAAGGAGTGCGCCCTCACTCGCGTCATGTGCCGCCTGCGGCGCAAACTGGGAAATCGGTCCGCGCCCCCAAGCGTCCCCAGCAACAAAGTCGCGACGCCACAGTGAACAAGGAGAAAAACTCAGATGTCCGTCGTCAGCAGCGTCCCGGTGCTCGTTCGCCGCCCAAAGCAACTAAGACCACCTCTGGAAAACGGGGTAGTGCTCCAAGCACGTTGCCCGCAAGAGGGAGAAAAGCAACCGGGGCGGTGCCATTGTGAAACATCCGTCCCAAGGTGGCGCATTATTCAATATTCAAGCTCACGGGTCTCTTGATCCCTGAAGGCTGTATACCTGCAGGGGACAGCTACGGACGGCACCGCTGTGGAACCCCTCCCCCCCCATCCCCATGTCTCGCAGTGGCCAGCGCGTATTCGGTGGCCAAAAGAATAACGGGAAGCAAACATGAAGACAGGGTGGGGGACAAGAAAGGAAATGCCCCGATGTAATTTTGAAGGCGTCTTTGCAGAAATTCGACTGCGTGCAATTGGAGCGAGTTCGCGGGGACGCTCTTTACGAAGAATGTGCTATATAATATATATATATATATATATATATATATTATATATTATATCTGTGTGTTTTTTTGCCTTTCGTTTGTTGCTACTGTTCTCTTTTATTATTATTATTGTTTGACGGAGAATAAGTTTGATCCCTTTCATTTTTTTTTGAGTTTGTTTCCTCCCCGAAAGTTTTATCTACCTGGCTGGAAGTGGACTTGCGAACGTTTTCCACAGAACGTTTTTATCGCCGCTTTCACCAGCTTTGCCTCCCCCTCTCTCTTTCTCTCTTTATCTCTTTCTTTCTCATTCGCGCCGGATTGCGTTGCACATGCACGCAAGAGAAATCGCCCAAGGCGACATGCGAACAATACGGGGAAGAGGGCATGTGGGGAAATAAAGTAAACGGTGCGTGTGTCTGTCACAAATGTCATTTCCCCCCCCCCTTCTCCCTCCCTCTTACTCTCTCTCTTTCTCTCTCTATGTTTGCTGCGTTACACTTCCGTTTGGCCCGCGAAGGTCGCAGGCCGTGTATAAAGCAATTGCGTTTTTCAAAAGTGTGATAGTTAGGGAGGGAGAGAGCATTTATTCGGACGTGGAGAAGTGGAATCTTAATTAATTTTGTGTTTGCGGTGTGAGTTGGGTGGCAAAGATGCTCCAGCGTAACTGCAGCGGATCATTGTACGCCATGCTGGAAGTAACCCGAGACGCGACGCCTCAAGAAATCAGGAGGGCGTATCACCGACTGGCTCTTCGCCTTCATCCGGACAAAACAGGCGGGACCACGACGGAGCAGTTCAAGTTGCTCCAGGAGGCGCAAAGCATTCTTAGCGATCCGAATCAGCGACGTGTGTACGACACGTTTGGCAGAGTGGGCGTAGATTCCATCCGACAGTTCGGAGACGTGCTGGTGCCGTTAACCCCTGCGGCTATTCGCGCTGCTATCTTTTTCACTGCCTTTTGGATTTCCTTGTTGCTTCTTACCTTGGTACTTGTCATTGTGAAGTTGGACTACGACAAAGGCTGGCCCTGGGCAGCGGTGTTTGCTCCTCTGTGGGCGGCACTTATTCCGCCGTTGCTAATTGGTGGAGTGTTACTATTCCATGGCGCCGCCCAGCGAGAGCTCGCCTCTGTAATGCTGGGAACTGAGTTTTTACTCTTCATTGCTGCGGTTGTGATGTTCGTCGTCGGACTCTCTGGCGCTCTCCCATGGACCGTAGCTTTGGCTCCCGGCGCAGGATTATACGTGTTGGAGAGTTGTCGTGTCCTGTCTTTCTTCTTCCCTTCTCAGTTCCGCAGTCGCTTTTTCGAGGCGATTGACCCCGAAATGTCTATATGTTCGTCACGGATGTACTGGGTTTTTTTCTTGCAAACGGTGTTTGAAAAGGTGTGTGGGTTTACTTTCCTCACCCTTGCCCTGCTGCGTGCGGCACAAAAAGAGGGCAAGGATGGATCGAAGCTCCTCTCCTTCTGGCTGGTTTTCACTCCTCTTCTTGTGTACTTTGGGTGCATGGCGTTTGTTGCCTCCGTGCAGAGATGTTTGGCGCTGACAGAAGAGGGGCAGTCGAGTATTGTCAACCGCCTCTGTCAGGCGTTGGCAGCCGCCATGCATTACGGCACCCTTCTCTTCATGCTGTGCATGTTAGCGGCCAAGTGTGAGGCCGAGCAGAATCACGTGGTGACGGGCCTGCACCCCTCCGCGCTTCTCATGCTTTTTCCGCTGCTGTTCATACTCGCATTCGCTGTGTTGTTGACGAGCTGTATGTGTTGCTTTTTCGAACGTCTACTTGGGGACCTTTCCGCTATGGAGACGACAGAGGGTAGCGAGACCTTCACACCGCCGGGCGACAACACGTTTGCTCGCGGCAACTTTATGTACGACGCCATGCCGGACGACCACGCCAACGGCGGAGGCAAAGGAGGAGGGGTGGCAGAGAGCCCCAGGGCGTATCGCGAGGCGAGGGTGGCAGATACGACGCCCCTGAGGACGGCGTATCAGGGAAGTTAGCCTGGAAGGCATCCGCTGACGACACACTGATAACAGGGATAGACGGAAACAAAATGCGGATTGACTATTGGATGTAGGTTTTAATTATCTTTCAGAGCCCCTCCGTAGTTATTGCTACTTTCTTTGCTTTGGTTTTACTTGGATGCTGATGGCATTCTCTGAAGTACCTCTGCACTCCCCCACATTTTTCTTGTCTTCCGCCACACACACACACACACACACTGGCTTTCTCAATCTTTATTTTTTTTTCTCTCTCTCTCTCGCTCGCTATTTAGTGCTTCTTCACCAACACACCGCCAACACGCAATGTCCGCCCCGCAAGTGCAGAACCCCCCCGTGGAGGACGACGAGGTTCCTACCCTGGAGGCCGCTGAAGTCCCACAGGCCGCTAAGCCGACCAAGCGCTACGCAAAGGCCATGGCAAAGATGGGCCTTAAGCCGGAACCGAACGTCGTCAAGGTGCACATCCGCAAGCACGGGACCCTCTCCTTCATGGTGAACCAGCCAGAGCTCTACCGTTTCCCTGGCACCAACACCTTCCTTATCTTTGGTGAGGCCCAACTCGGGGAGACTGGGATGGAGGCGCAAGAGGCTGCCGCCCGCGCCGTCTCGGGCGTGGTCCCGGAGACGGAGTCCCGCGTTGAGGAGGTGGCCGCGACGGCCGAACCCTCTGAGACCGCCGTTCCCGCACCTGCAACGGAGGGCGCAGACGCAGAGGACGCTGGCGACTTGGACGAAAAGGAAATCAATGTTGTGATGCGCCAGGGTCTCACCGACCGCGCTGGTGCCATCCGGGCTCTCAAGAACAACAAGGGCGATATCGTGAACGCCATCTTGGAGCTGACAATGTGAGCACACGTCCAGCTTAGCTTGACCGACGAAAAGGGGAAACTGTGTGGAAGGTAAAGCCACTGTTCATTTTTGTTCACTTTTTTTTGTCTTTTAATAATTTTCTACGTAACTGAAGCACATGCGTCTTCCAGGAGACTGGAAACTAACCCTCAAAGAGACGTCGTGTCAACCACTTTGGAACTTCGTGATGTCTTTCGCTTTTTATTATGTTTACCCTTCTTCTTTTTCCCTCTTCTTTTTTTCTTCCCTTGACTGCTGCTGCTGCTGCTGCGTCCTCACACACCCACGCCCCTGCCGCAGGTGGTTTGTCCCCGGACTTTCGCAATGGCTCGTCGCCCGTCACGCTGCTACCGCTTCTGCAAGAACAAGCCGTTCCCGAAGTCGCGTTTCTGCCGTGGTGTGCCTGACCCGAAGATCCGCAACTTCGATATTGGCAAGCGCCGTGCCACGGTGGACGAGTTCCCCGTGTGCATTCACGTGGTTTCCCGCGAACTCGAACAGATCTCCTCGGAGGCACTGGAAGCGGCCCGTATTCAGGCCAACAAGTACATGGTGAAGCGCGCCAACAAGGAGGTGTTCCACATGCGCATCCGCGCCCACCCGTTCCACGTGGTGCGCATCAACAAGATGCTTTCCTGCGCTGGCGCCGATCGTCTGCAGACGGGCA